GTTGTTGAATATCTGAGTGGTGCACTACTGCTACTAGTGGTGAGAAAGTGTATTGCAACTTTTTCAAAAACAATACAGTCACATGGCCCTCTGCGGCCCAAAGTTAAAAACTGTTGTTCTTTTGAGGCCCTCAAGGTGGCGTTCGTCTGGTTTCGGCTATTTTTCATTGATCGTTACTTAGGTGTCAGTAGTGTCTGTGCAGTTTAAAATAAATATTGATGTATGATCAAGTGTTTACACTGAGCCTTTTTACTTTTCTACAGGAGCTGTTGGTCATCATGGAGATAACCTGGTCGAGAAGGTTCTCACGGTTCTGAAGCTCTTGCCTGGTCATGTGACTGATGTGCAAGTAGACATGTTGGAGCTCACAAGTCTGAAGCAAACCCCTGACTCCAAGAACATCCTGGCCCCTGGCTGCCTTGCACAGACCCAGTAAGTAGGGATGTGGATAAAATTTTTAATCCTGCACCAATATTAAATTTGACAGTGGATTCCAAAAGATCATTACAAACCATACAAAATAACACCAAAATCATGTGATTATCTCAAGTATGAGGGAAGTTATTGATGTTTGTTTAGGTGAAATCAGCTCATGTTTTCTTGCCCCAGTTCACAGCAGAACCTATGTGATTATTTCACCTGGTTCTTATCTATTTTTGCTCATAACTTACTTAGTGTTCAAGATATCACCATGAAATTTTAGGAAAAGATTCACATTCTGCTTTTTTATAGGAACCATCTTGTATCCTAAAAAACTAATAAAGCTTAACAATAGCCAATGCAAAAGTAGCAGAGAAGGTATAAAATAATATTACAAGGCAAACTGCAGCATCAAATCACCTTAATGTAAAAGCCCTATTCGCAAGGGATAAGAATTATCTGGGGACCCCATGTAATTAAAAAATTACTCCCTTACGTCTGTGTTTTATGTGGCACATACTCACGGGATAACCAAAGCCTGAGATTTTCCTGTAATTTACAGACATCTCCCGAATGTGATATTGAAGCCTGTTTAGTTGTCTATTTAGTTGAACACGCGTTGAACGGACCTTAAAAAAACAACAAAAAAAAGCAATAAACATCAAATTATCCACTTTTTCCGCTCTCCTTTCCTCCTGCTCTACAGCAGGCACTGTCATCTCCACGGCCGACAGAYCCCCACCCCATCCCCACGTGCGGGTAAGAGTGGTACAGATTTTTAGCAAAAATTATAGATTTTTGAGGCTCATTAGACAGGTAAACGTCCAAAGGAGTTGACACATATGAGCACCTTCACAGCTGGCGAGGGTATGTGCGCCCGGTGTGAGTAGCTACCCAAAGCGCGAGCCTGCGCTGCGCTACRGCCACAGCTCAACACTCAGCATCAACCAGAAGGCTACAAACAGAAAAAATAAATATTCTTACCATATAGTGCATGTGATTTTACGCCCTCTCTTCAGACTTTTTTTTATGGTACACGTAATGTATCGGGTTTTTCCGRCCCGAGACCCAAAAGTTTTTCAGTGCACTCCAATCCAGCCTCCATTCTTCACTAAAAATAAATAAAAATGCACCAAGGAAACCAAAACCGCCTAATTACATATGGGATTCAGCCCCATCCTTTCCAAATCACAGAGATGCCTATTCACATTGGATTAGTATTATCACAGGACCTTGGGGTTCAGCGAAATATGGTAGGTAATTTGCGGGGGAATTTTTACTTTACAAGTTACTGACATGGCCAATTCTCACGGGATTAACAACACAGACAATCTCTGTAATTATTACGAATAGCATGGGGTCCCTGAAAGTAAGGAAATTAAAACAAATTAAAAACCATGTGGACATCTGTTTCGTAAACAAAGCTCCTCAACCAATGACAGCATGATAAATGTGTCAAGTGATGAAGATGAGCATCAAAACACTTTTTGAACAAGCTCTATTCCAGATAAAAAAAACCATACTTCAACGTTTCAAATCATTATCAAATTTGGAACAAGGACAGAGAAAATAATGTTCTTCTAGGCAGCTTATCTATTTAAGGTTCACTAGAAAAACTCGGGTGATTTACTTTGATATTCTTTTCAAAAAATTGTCTCTTCAAAATGCATCAACAAAAATTAAAAACTTGAAGACGAGTCTGTAGCCAACTACCTGATGTCAGCATGCTTTGTTGAAATTTGTGGAAATAACGAAGCAGGAGGAAATTACAAGCAGCTTTGCAAAATCTGGTCACAGCAGTTTGGGAAGAAAATGGCAGCTCTGCTGACGAAACGTCAACATCCCTATAGTAAGCATGTTTCATCTTTTACTTTGTTATGACCTGTTTTGATGATAGCTGTTTTTACCAGCTAATATACCGACAGACTCAAGTTAGGTCTTTCACACTCAGTCCACAACACAAACACAGCAAAGGTTTGGTAGGACTTTAGGTTGGGTGATGGGATGAACAGATCGACCATCAGAGTCCATACTGGTAGTCTTTTAAAGGATGTTTACCAAATTCATCTAATTTTCATTTTAAGAGTTTTGACGTGTAAATGTACATTGTACAAGATGAACATTTTCTATCCACCTCATTAATTTTGAGCAAGCGAAGCGACAAAGATTCAGTCAGGTGTGGATGCAGCCAGCAGACAGACCGACAGCAGGCTGTTGTTTTATTGCACACATGATTTATTTGTTTAAAGGGGACCTATTATGCAAAGTTCACTTTTTAAAGGTTTTTTTTACTCAACTTTGGGTATGTACTTCTTAAAAAAAACAGTCCTAGGACCAAAAAATGCACCCAGGTGCATATTTACTGTAAGTAAATGTATTTTTAATGTATATTAACGACAAGTTTTATACTTCMGTCATTTTGTGATGTCACAAGCCGTACGACAACCCACCGGAACCTGCATTCAACCCCTTACCTAGCAACTCCCGGGTAAGACTCCTCCTCCTCAGTATAAAAAGCCGTCACGGTTGTTGTTGTGCAATGTGTAGCTCATTTCACAATAGGCCTCCAATAGGGCAATGGGTAGAGTGTTGGACCAGAGAGTGGGAGACCAGGGTTTGGGACTGGCATGGACACAATCTAATTATTTATTTATTTTCGTTCATTATGAACACGTTTTCTCATGTACCTCTATTGTTTAGCTTATTAAAGCCTTGTTAAAGCCTATTTGTTCAAGTTT